ACGCTGTCCTTGAAGCCTTTCCTCCTATGGTTCCCCTATGGAAACCCAAGGCCCTGCTGACCTCCGTGCTCCATTCCATGTATTTGCTCCTTTTCTACTTTCCAGTGTAGCAGATGTCACTCTCTCCTCCATCAGGTTCACCAGGCATCTTGACAGCTTTGTGACAAATGTGAGTCACAATGTGTTATATGCAGTTTTATCTATACCACAACCAGACTGGAAGCTCCCAAGAGGCAGGTTTCTTTTTGCTGCTGTAGTCTAAATGCAATAGCAAATGCGTGCAGAATGAATGTATGGATGACTTTCCATAAATCTGGTGCCGTTGACAACAGAAAAATCAAATGAATAAAGGAAGGGAAAGTAGCTGCTTGGTAGCTTGGAATTTAGTCTTCATCATCTCTGTCTAACAAAACCTCAACAATCCCTCAGTATTCACCCTAAATTCTACCTACTGTCAGCTAGAGGAATCTCACCATTGCCTGGGATCTCACCCACTGCCATGACATAGGCTAAAACACTTGTCAATTCCTATCACATTTGAATATTTTGTAGATTTAGTACACCATGCATCCACATTACATTGAACATCTTGAAATCTGTAGCAGGCATAGTAACTGATACATAGTAATTGGCAGGTGAATGAGCTTATGTTAGTAGTTGCATTCAAATATATTTCACTATTGGAGAAACCAGATCAGAACTTCCGACTAGTCTCTTTCTATAGCATTTTTAAAAATAATTTTATTGAGAAACAAATAGCAATGAGACAGTTTCAAAACTGGTTAGTAGAGCAGTTTCAATAATTAATACATTGCATACTGTTTTCTTAGTGGTTATTCATAGTACAAGATGCAGACATGATGTCCTGTTCACAAACACTATTATTAAAAATCTTTCTATTCATTAAATTAAGAAAAAGTAGCTGTGTATCTATCCTATTTTGAATATACAGATACAAAATAGTCCTTCATTTGTATCCCCTTTTTTGGTTTAGTTTTGTCAAAGAAGGGTATCTATTGTCACTTAAATGTTGTAGGTACATGAATTCAGCAAAATATTCCAATATAGCATTTGGATCAAACTGTGGGTTGTTCTGCAGATGACCTTTCACCTGGTCTTCACTTCAGTCCATGAAAGTGTTCCTTGGCCCCAGCTCACCTTGGGATGCCAGCCAACTCCTAACTCAGGCCTCTTTGGCACTGTCCTTGGTCCCCTTCCCCAAATTGGTTTTCAGGTCTCTGTCATCTGACTCACTCACCAGCAAAATAGCAGCTACAGCTATCTAACATAGAAACAGAGAGCAAAGCATCTTTGGTCTGGATAAGGCCTCAAGTATCATCTCAGGGGAGGACCTGAGACATGCTTGGTGCCAGTGGGGTCACCAGTGATTCACAAGCACTTAGGAATTAAAGTTCTCTTCTTCCCCCAGGAAAGGTCACTTTGCCCAGTCCCCTCCTATCTTGGTTGAACTATGCATTGGCACATCTATTTTTGCTGCCTCCTGGCCTGATCATTTTTCAATTACAGTTTGTCCTTCCCATTCCAGCAAAGGGGCAGTGCAGGTCTCTTTCTGGCCACAGAACCACACTGATGAAAACCTAATTAGGCATTTCCTTTTGCTGTTGACCGAGGTTATTTGGTGGCAGAAGTCTAAGGCATATGCTCAGCATGACTGGAAGTGCTGTGGGTGCTTATGAGGCGCTCCCAGGGCAGATTCCTACCTCTAGTCTTGGCTGAGCCTGGTCCTCACACCCAGGACACTCTGCCTTTTGATTTTGAGGAAGCTAAATCTTGCCATCTTTTGCAATTCATATTACACTGAAGTCAAAATAGATGCCCCTTCAAATTTCTAATACTGTGTTTATTTCTTTTTCTGTAGCACATACGGTAGCAAGAGTAAATTCATGAGTGCTCTCATATTCTGTGAGTAGAAGCATAAATGAGCACAATCGTTTGCAGGAAAACAGTGACAGTATATATCAAGAGCCTTAAAACCCAGAAATTCCATTTTCAGGTTATAATCAGAAATTCAAAGAGATTCATGCATAAGAAATTTAGTACAGTATCATTTGATCACTTGTAATAGCTGATAGATAATTAATATCTGGTAATAAGGGAGTAGTTAAGTATTTTGTAGCTTATCCATATTGCATAGCCCTCTCCAATGAAGCTTTTGAATATGTGTTAAAGCTGATGTTAAGGAATCCAGGCAAACTTACCAATTGTTGTACAGTATGACCCATACAGACCTTTCCCAACTGTTGTTTCCTTATAGGATGTTTATAGGAATGCTATAAATAAAAAGGTTCTATCCTCTAGAAAGTTGAAAAGTTATAATAGGAATATACTTGAAAGCTGCAGGAACCTTGGGTATGCTAATGAGATGAGCCCCTCACCCCCCAAGAAATTCAGCACAGCGTGCAGGGTTACTGCTGCATGGGGAGCACGAGAAATTTCTCATCAATGCAATGCAGTTCAGCAAAGCTGAAGGGGAAAAAAAAGCCTAGAAAATAACATAACATTGAAAGGAATTACCCCTGCTGTGGAGACACAAAATTATTTTCTTTTCTTGGAATTTTTGTCTTGTCTTACAAAAGTGCAAAGTGTCATGAAATAGAGAAGACCAGAGGGCCATTCTCTGTGAGTCTTTGACAGACATGGAGCACTGCAGGACCAGCTGAAACGCAGCCCCCCTGCTGGTCATGTGGAGAAGGTGGCTGCTGCTGTGAGGACAGTGGAGGAAGCCAAGTCAGAAGTTCCTGCTTGTGCTGCCTGGCCGGCTTCTGATGTCCCATCTACAATCTCCAAGAGCATGGAATAGAGTCGGAGGCACCCCAGTCACTCGAGGCCTGACCACAGGCTTCCAGATGTCTCTGGAAACATCTCCAGGATGTAAACCATATTCCAGGCTTCCTCTGCTGCCCAGCTGTCCTTAGCTGGAAACTCCAAGTTCAGGAAACAGTGGGCCTCCTTAGATCTGGAATTCTATTCAAATATTCTCCTTAGCTCTCCCAACCTTCCCTCAGCACTACACTCTGTCTTCATATCAGGCTTTGTTCCACCCCTATAGGCTAGCTCTTCCCTCCCCACTCATAGACCCAGCTCAAGAACCCCACCCGCAACCAGGGTCTGGTCCAAAACATTAAGCAAGAAAGGAATATAAATGGAGCCAGGGCTTCTCACTGAGTATAAGAAGGCTTTTCAGTGATCTGCCTGGACCTCTTCACTTTACCCTCCAAAGTCCCCTAAAATATTCATCAGACTTTATCTGGCTAATGATCTTCAAAAGAAGTAATTTTCTGAGACATGAGAAAGGACAATATAAAAAGAACATTAAGGAAAAAAGTCTTATTTCAAAATGAAAGGAAAAAGATCATTTAGCATCCCTGTTGGTGTTATCTATTCATGAGAAGCAGCACATTTAATCCAGAGTGGGATATAGGGAGGGCTTTGATGCCCTCACCTTGGGGTCACCTTCATACAGAACTCATTTGTCTCCCCTGCCACGGATAGCAGAGTGATGGAGGCCAGATGATGCAGAAGAGAGACATTTCAGAGGACGCCTCCAAGGGGTGTACTGGGAGCAGAGAGGGAGAACATAGGACAGAGTCCACACCTAGGGAGCCAGAGGCTGGCGACACTATTCCCCAGTCTTGCTATGTCTTACACTTCCTGTTTCTTGTCCTATTTTGGATCATGCCATATAAATCTTGCACCTGAGGGCAGGAATTGTAACTCTAACCTCTACCAACATCTCTAAGCAGTGTCCTTCAGTACCCTCAAGGCTGCTGCCAAGCCTGGCCCCAGGGCTCCTGGGCTCCTGTGGAGGGCACGTGTGGGTCAGTGGCCTCCATGAAGTCCAGCTATGAGCACCCTTTTGTGGTCCTTCTCTTCCTTCTCAGGCCCAAAGCAGGGAGGAGCTAAGTCCCAGCGAGAAGACCATCTCTCCCGGGAGTTGTTTTGCCTTGAAAGATCCATGAGATTATATCAGCTCTTCATATAAGCCTTTAAATAAAGACAAGCTTTTAAACAGAGACAACTCCTTCTTTACCTTCTTCTTTCATGGGTTCCCTCTTCTGTAGCTCCTCATGCTTTCCTCTTCCATTTCCTCCTTTCCCTCCTCTCCCTCTTCCCTTCATCGTTATTTCTACTTCCAGTTTCCTGCCTGTTTCTGAGCCTAATTTGTCACCAAACTTAGGGAAGTGGTTCCAATTGAACTTTTCTCTCCACTAAAGAACAAGGAGAATTTCGTTCAAAGAGTTGTAAGCTGTCACTGATGTTCACCAAAAGCTTGTCAGCCAAGAGAGCTAGTAATTCTGTGACCAAGATAATCTGCCTATAATCTGTCAAATACAGCTGGTCCTCTGTATTTTCACATTCTATACCCATGGATTCCACCAACTTAGTGACTTAGCAAGAACCTGACTCAACACAAAAAATAAAAAAATGTCTGGGGATGCCGCTCAGAGGGAAGGCCCTGGGTGTAAGCCCCTAGTACTTCTGCCCCCCCCCCACACACACACACAATGCATCTTCACTGAACAAGAACTTACTTTTTCTGGTCATTATTCCATAGACAATATATAACAACAATTTGCATCGTGTCTACATTGTATTATACACTGCAAGTAACCTAAAAATGAGCTACACTATATGGGAGTATGCACATAGTTTATAGTCAAATACTTTTATTTCTTATGAGGAACAATTTGTGGTTTCTGGTATCTTCAGGAGGTCCTGAAGCCAATTCCCTGAATTCTGAAAGGTGATATGTTTGCTTGATGATTTCATTCTCAGAAACACCAGAAGAGATTTCTCATTATGTCTGACAATGAGCTTCTATAACCTCAGTGTATATCAATCATTATGTTCTTTACATTCCCTGCCATGACCTGTTTGACCTGAAAAATCCCTTCTCTCATTTTGTAATTACAACTCAACAGTATGATGTTGCATTGCATATTTGATTTTAAGTGTTGCTCCCCCTTTCTTTTCACTAGATTTGTGACAAGGAGTGGCATTACTACGTCATCAATGTGGAGTTTCCTGTGGTCACCCTCTACATGGATGGAGCGACATATGAGCCATACTTGGTGACCAATGACTGGCCCATTCATCCATCTCACATAGCCATGCAGCTTACAGTCGGCGCTTGTTGGCAAGGTAACCTTATGCGGACCCTTTCCCCCTACCCTACATACAATCTGTGAAAGACACTTATAGAAAGAAAGGAAAACCAAGTGGTGTAAGAGTTAGTCAAAACTAGTGACCAGCCCTCACTAATAAAACCCAGACACTAAACCTGGATAATAATGAAACACTTGGCTTTATACCAGACTTTTATATCCATCACACATGTAGCATCGTAAGTGTCTGAGTTGCTAATGCCATTTACTATTCTGAAATGCTGTCTGTTTTCAAACAGGGATTGTACAGAGCAAAGGCTGAATGTAAAATCTTGTGATAAAACTGCTACTTGGCTCTGGTGCATGCCGGGGTGGCCAGAAACCAAGGATCTCCCTTTATCATCACACAATTTGTCCAAGTTCCCCACCCTCTGATCAGGGCATTCAAAAATGCCTGGACTGTGGGAAGCAAGCTGCCCACAGGCTAGGAGGCTGCTCTCAAGGTCGGCTCAGCCCTGGGGCCTGGACATCGAATCCCCAAATCCAGGCCCACCTGATTTTGGAAGCAGGAAAATGAGCTTTCTATGTGTGCCTATAACATTTCTGTCTCTCACTTAGCTCTGCTGAAGTCTTTGTTTCAGTTTCTAAAGAGTTAGGAGCTTTGATGAAAGAACAGAGGGGAAGAAAGAAGCCCCCACACAAGAGAGTAGTAATTCAACATCCGAGCCAATTCTATATTGATAGATTCTGTGAAAACTTCCAAGATTTGTGACTTGAGCCTTTCACTATGGGAGACTGGGAGGAGAAATGGGCCCCAGTGCCACCCTCCCTCAGTATTCTGGGGTTGGGGTCACTTCCAACATTTAATGAGGATCCCAAAGGTTATAGATACTCAGGTGCAATTGAAGTGATACAGTTCTTCACCCCTAAACTTCTTATAACATTTAGTACGCTGTCAATGGTATGCAAACCATCATTATTCTATATTGTTAAGTAATGATAGCACAAAAGTCTGTAAGTGTTCCATACAATTTTTTCAAACATTTTTCATCCATCCACAAAACTTGTTGTACATTAGTCAATTCCAGGAGACCCAATACCTGACAATCGAAGGTTGAAGAAGGACAGGTTTCTTGGCTTGGGATTTAACAGGGTTCTTTCCATGGTTAGTTGTCTGGCTCCAAAGCAGAAACAGCTTAGTGGGAAGGCATGGTGGAGGATAGCTGCCACTTCATGGCATCCGGGAAACAGGGCAGACGAACAGCACCAGACAGGCAAAGGCCAGGGACCATAGGCAGGACATCCCCAGAAGTGTGCTCCTCCAGTCCCATGGGGAGCACCCAAGCCAATGAAGCTGACGCAATCCAGCTTGATGCCCACACTGTGGATTCAGAAGGGCACCTATGTAAGAATGCATCTCCTGAGGGAGAACTGACCCAAGAGCGAACTAGGGAAAGCACAGGCCCAGCTGTTAGATGAAGAACAATGTCTGAGTATCAGACAGAAGATGGAACGATATGTAGTGCCAACAAGTACTGAGGGTGCAAGACTCAGGAGAGACATAAAGGTGAAAGAGAAGAACACGTGTGATCTGAGGTCACCTGCTTGATGCCTGGCATGCATCCTATGTTAGTGAAATGCTCACTAAGAATTTCAATAAAACACGGCAGTGAGAGGTTCTTCAGTAGCACAGGCTTTTGCAGGGCATCAGCAATGGAAGGTTACCTGGAGGAAGTCCACAAAGCTAAATGGCATAGTAAGGTTCTGACTCAGAGATTACACAGAGACCACTGGCGCTTGGTGTGGCTCACTGGCCCATCCTGGAACTGCTGTGGATATCATTGGACATACCTGAAGAATGACCACAAAGAAAGAATGCCCCAGTCTTGTCACTCCATGAACCATACTGTGATGCTTCCTTAGAGGCTCTCAGAAGCCCCATCTGGATTCCTGTCACACCATCCTGACACAGAAACTTGCCCACTTCTGCAAGGCCAGCTATGACTGCCATGCCACAGCCTTACGCCTACTTCCCAGAGTGGAGAAAGACTCCTACCCAATCTAAAATAGTTGTATTTGATAATCTATCAAGAAAATCATTGAATCACTTTGAATAGGTTACGTTATGTTGAACAAACAAGTAAACCCCAATTGAAATCTCACTTCATTGTCACTGCAAATCAATAGAGATTCTCCTGTCCTCTCTTCAGCTTAGGAGCCAAGCCAGCCATTTTTATTCACATTTTATTGGTCACAACAAGCCATAGTTACCTTTAGTGCTGCTGAGAAGTCACCTTCATTGCTATCTGCAAATACAGCAGGGAGAAATAAAGAAAATAATGAACAAATACTATTGATAACAACAGTTTGTCCATACAATTGACCGACTAATTCACCTTTTTATTTAAGCCGTGCACACACTCTTCCTGAGACAACCCAAACGTCCCATCTGTTGCTGGATCCAAGCTTCACGCCCAGGCTCCCCGAGTGGCTCATAGTGACCTCTTCCTCAGGGACAAATCCAGAGGACGCTCTACAGCAGATTGAAATGTGGCTCCACTTATCTGGAGATCTGATTCTTGATAGGACAAATCACTTGCAGTCACCACAACCACAATCTCTCCCTTCAGCATGCACATACACACAAACACACACACACACACCACCACCACCACCACCACCACCACCATAAAACAGTGAAATGAGACAGAATAACCACAAATGCACTTCTGCTGAGAAGGAGGAAGAACTAGAAATATGGCCATCCTGGTAAAAAGCAGTTCTCCAATCCACTTAAGCAGACAATGTGCAGATGGAGAATATTCTTTGTGGCCCTTGATTCCATTCACTGGGAGATGTCTTTCTCCAGTGGCCCCACAGGCCACATCAGATGAGGTCATTGGCACTCCCTAAATACCAGTCCTAATATATGTTTACAATTTATTTAAAAGCCATTCCACAAAAATCATTTCAAATGTATGAAGCCTGGGTGTATGTTTATTTTAAAATATCATGACAGAAAGAATGAGCACTAGAGCATTCGCAGGTGCAGAACTGTCCATCCTTGGGGGCAGGTCTGGTCATGTGTCCCATGCTGGCTGCCTACCTGTGCGTGGAAGTGCCTCTGTCGTTCCTTGGTGGGAGCTTCAAGAGTCAGCGTTTCAAGGAGGCCTTTCATGTGCACAGAGGGGTTTACAACCCTGCAAGGAATGGCAATTAGTCTCAACATGCAGACATGTAAGCCAGGCTCTGAGAAGTAGCTTACTCAAATTCGCCCAACCAAAATTTTCCATCCCCAGGCCTCTGATTCCTACACTTTATTCATGGTGGCTCACTGGCCCACATTGTTAGTTAATCATTTTGTTGTATAATTACGTATTAAGGGAAAGGCAAGGCTCCTGTGCACTGACACAAGTGCTATGGACCCTTCACCTTTTCTGACTCCAACTACCTGCTGATCAAAGCAAAAGGGAAAAACCTGCTACATCCCTTTTGGTGCATATTCCCTTAAGTGACCCTCCAAAAAGCAGAGAAAAATCATTTAAACTTTGGAGTCAGAAAACTTTGAGCCTCAGCCAAGCCCTATCTCTGTAACTTATTTTGTGGATCTTACAGGATCCTTAACTTCTCTGAGCTTCAATTTTGTTATCTGTGAAATGAGAGTATAACCTGTCACATGGGGTTATTATAAGGATTAGGTACCAGGCATATCATGTATGCTTTATTTGAAAGAATGTATAGATTTGTAAATATCTCCTGGTCTGTCCTCCACTGCCTCCCCTTTCCTTTCACTAGAACGCAATGCTTCAGATAGTCTGCAAGGCTTCAACATGTTCTAGTTTCTGTGATCTCAGCTTTCTTCACTCCCTACATGTCCTGACTGTGCCTCTCACCCCAGGACATGGACTCTGTCCTACCACATCCATCCATGAGCCAGAAAGAGGTCTGTGAAGTAGGAGAAGAGCCAGCCAGAAGTCAGGCTTCGGAGGAGGAGCTTGAGACATGGGGCAGGAACCTGAACGTGCAGTCTTTTCAGCCATGGCGACTTGAGCATCTTCCCTGAGGAGACTAAAAGCATATCTGCAAAGTTTCAGCAGATAAAAAAAAATCCTTAAAATCTTTAAAATTAGTCTTTCTAGAATGAATAAAAGTTCACAGTTCAACAACATGGAGGCTTGGCCTGGGGCACTCAGGATTCCTACCACTAGGACATTCATGGACCAGGAGTGGAGAAGAGGCTGGCCACAGGGTCCAGACCAAACCCTGAGACATCGCGTCACCTGCTAAAGGATTCCGAATTCCTGCGAACACCTAGATCCTTTTAAAGCTACGTTGTGCTGGAATGGCTGTATCAGAACACCTTTCAATAAGATTTAGTGCTGTGGAATTAATGACCTGCAATATAGCTCTTATCTCTACATGTCTCTAAAAATTCTGCCATCTAGGTATACACATAGGATGAGGTATGACTGAAAGGCCAGTTCCCTTTGGGCATGTAGTTACAGGGAGTGCTTCAGGTTTCTTTGAAGTTAGCAAGGGCCATAGTTCTCATTTGAGAAATTTCTAGTCAGGGTTAAACAATGGGAATGGAGGATGATTTGACAGCAGCTGAGGGCTGGATCCTTCCGGGAGCTGGCTCCAGCTCTGGACGCCGCTGGACGCTGCTCTGCAGCCCTGATTTCCCTGTGCATCCTGTTAGCGAATGTGAAAGCCAGTTCAGTGGAACTTCCTCTTCGTTGGTATTTTTCCAGTAATTAAAAAGGTGAGACCTCATTTATACTTAAGAAGTGTTGCCAGTAGGCCTAGAGCATGTAGCATCTCATAATTGTGGAGAAAGATGGTCGCAGCCAGACTAGGCCTCGCACAAGACAGCGCTCTTCTCTGCGTGGCTGGCACACAGCACATGGCCATTATTTCTGTGTCCAGGGTGACGTGGTGCTCTCAGGATGCAATCAGACCCTTTCTCTGAGCCAAGCTCATCCCATACTGACTCAGACACTGGTGCTTCTGTTCAAATGCCAGGATCCTTGCTTCTCT